TGTTATTATAACAATTTTAAATAAACATAATTTAATGAGATCATCGTAATAATTATTTCGATATTAAGAAAATTTGAAATTAAAGAAAACTTCTTGCAAAACTTTTTATTTGTTTTTTATATTTTATATAATTTATGAATATATAATTATAATATTTGAATTAGCAATTCAACGTAAATCAATCATAGTAATATTTATTTCAATGTTAAAAAAATACGGAATTAAACAAAACAAACAAACCTTTTTATAAATTATTATATTTTAGACAATTTATAAATATATATAATTATAATATATAATATCTGTATGCAGACATTGCATTTACCAGAAATTCGAGAAAATGAAAAATTCAACAAAGTCATTGTAATATTTATTTCGATATCAAGAAAATTCGTAATTAAAAAACATTCATGCGAATTATATACATGATATAAAAAAATATATAGAAAAACATAAATTTCCAAACAACTGATGTGATATTTTTTCATGAAACACGAAACTCGTTTTACCGTGAATCTTTCTCGTCGTCTCGTTCGATTTTTCTTTTTTCAACAACTTCGCGACATTATTTGCATCCAACCGCATCCATTGTTTTCGAACCGTATTTCATCGGCGCAATTAAATCAGGGAACGTGCAGGCGTCGCATTTAAAGCACGAAGGACTAATTACTGGGCGTTGCGGATTTTCCTTTATTCGGGGAGTGTCGACGACTACGCTCTTAGTACGGTACTTCGAATTGTTGCTTGGCGATGACGTTAGTACATTTAAATATCATAGATGTATGTACATATTTACGTATATATGTATGCATATATATATATATATATATATATATATATATATATATATATATATGGTGGATGTACGTCGATTACAATTCGCTGTATTGAACAATCTTTTCTCGGCCACTGATTTATCTCGTTCACTGCACAATGCTGCACAATTACGTTACGAGTTTAATAGATTCTTTAGTTTTCTTAGACAATTGTAATAATTCATAGACAGTTGGATGGTAGAACGAACGTAAATATTTGATAATTCGATTGAATATATATTTTTATCACTTTAAATATGTGTACGAACTAGAATGCGATAAGAGTATTTCGAATGCATCTGTCTATCGGAAGTCTCGTTAGCCTTCATTATAATCTATTAACGTATGCGATAAATGAAAGATTACAAAATTTTCCTGATTTCTACTGTAACATCGTCTGATGTTTCAATTAATTTTTTAATGTATGATTAAATTTCTTTTTTTTTCTTTTCCTTCTTTTTTTTCGAAACTTTTAAGAAAAATATTATAATACCTATTAAGTAAATAATACATAATATATGTATAATATATATGATATATATATATATATATATATATATATATATATATATATATATATGTTATAATGATTCAAAAAGAAATATATTTATTATTAATGATATGTTACCTATATGCTTTAATTCTATTACACTAAAGCTGTCGAAGTTATATTAATGATTCAAAAAATATTGAATAATATAAAGATATAACTCGATCGAGACACTTAACGTTTGAATAGTTTATATACGACCGCCAAAGATAATATCACCGACAACTTGGTGTAAGACATAAATTCTTTCATTAAGCTGGTGCATTGGTAAGAAAGAGACGAAGAGAAAGAGAAAGAGAGAGAGAAGAAGTATGGAAGGCACCAACGTTAATAATGTGAGTGTACGTGTAGGCGTATGCCAGGGATCACGCGACCCTCGTTTACAATCAGCCCTTTTGACACACGGCCAAATGGAGCTCACGCGCCTCTGAAAGGAGTCCGCAACGAGAGAAAAAGATTCTTTCAACACTGCCTAAGCCCTAGGTGGCCCTTTTCATGAGGCCCTTTAAAGTTTAAACCGACCTGTCAGCGAAACAACTATTGACCGTATTTGCCTCTTTCTTGAATCTGGGACGAACGTGTTAAAAAAAAATGTCTAGTTTTTCTTGATGGGTGCCAAAAAATGTCAAGTCTTTTTTTAACTCTCACCTTCATTGAACACATAAAATGTACAATGAAATGTATTAGTTTAATATGTAAATGTTTCTTATATATGTGCACTCATGTCTTATTTTCGCGATCATAATTATTCTTTCCCTTTTTCTTTTGCATGTTCAACTTTCGTTCGATAAAAGCGATGAAACATATCATAAGCTATATCAAGGGAAAGCAACTAATGGTACACGATATACATATGTATGCAGACATCACACTTACCAGAAATTCAAGGAAGAAAGGAGGTTGGCTATTAACCTTCGACTAAAATAGTTTTATCTTATCGTAGTTATGAAATTCGCGTGAGCTTACTAATTTTAACGCACTTACAGTATGTTTAAGTAGAAATTGATACAATCTACAATTTCCATATTATTAAATTTTTTGCTGGTAGATGGACAACAGAGAGAACCACCAAGGCATAGACTCGATTTGTATGAATCGTTACATGTTAGAGATCTCTTTCACTTGCGTTCTTCTTTCTTTTTGATTATTTTTGCTCACCGATAAGTCTCATCAAGGTCACCACTAATATGATACATTCAATGTGTGACTTATCGCGTCATCATCGTCGTCGTCGTCGTCTATCCACACACGGTGTATTGCCTCATCGTTCTTTACTGCCAAAGAGAATAACGTGCAAAGGACGCCTGCTTCCAGCGATGACGACATTTCGCAACTCTCTCTCCGTTCTCTCAACGGTTCGTAATCCTCTTACAATCGACTGAAAAAGAAATTCATACTCTACCCTCTCCCCCGATATTCTATAAATATTTTTTTCAAATCAAATTTTTATATAGTTTTTTCATTTTATTCGATAATGCATACATCATTACTTTTCATTGAATTTTGAAATATTATTTCACTAATCAATTTCAATTATCAAAATTTTCATATAAAATATATAATTATATGAATATATATATATATATATATATATATATATATAAATGTGTATTATATATTATATATTTTCGCAAATAATTTATAAATATATACATATCATAGTTTTATGTAATTTAATAATATGATACTACGTGCACTTATTCTCTATACGATTATTAATAGCAAAATATATTTCAATTATATTTTTACGAACTACCTTCCCCAAGATTTGTCATTTTTAGCTTAATTCTTGTTTTCCGATGGGAGTCTAACCGAGAAGTCGAAAATAATAACAAAACGGAGGATGTCGAAAATTCTGAGAGACAGAATATCTCTCTCGTGGTTTTCTATGAACTCATGTGATTGCTTATTTGTAGGGATTTACACCACGGTAACGTAATACATATAACATTATCGAACACGCTATATAGAGTGGTCGCATACAAGACACGGAGATACTACTCTTCCGCATTAGAACTCGTAGGGGAATTTTAATTTTCCCGATCTGTCTATTATTTTTTCTATTCAAATAGTAATTATATCTGATCTCGATACAACGATATGATTATTCGTACATAATATACTTTTTTCAATATACAGAAAGAGAGAGAGAGAGAGAGAGAGAGAGAGAGAGAGAGAGAGAGAGAGAGAGAGAGTGATATAATTTAATATTTAATTTTTGTATAAGACGTGTATGTATGTATTTTATGAATTATTTAAAATTATATAGTATTGGTAACATTTGATTTTCGTTGAAACCAAATATAATTCTTATAAAAAAAAATACGCTTGATGAAAATATTAACACATACCGTGCCATGTGTACCACCGGTGGTGGTATTTTTTTCTTTAATCAAAATATCAAATGGCCTGAACGACAAGTCAGGCAAAAATGGCTTGGCACAGAACGTGTTAACAACGAAATACATGATTAGAATCGTACTTGCAGTTAACCCATTATCTCGTAAGTTACGTACGCATATACGTAACAGGATATCGATCAATGATGATTGAAGTTAAAGTGCGATATCCGGTCACGTTGTTGATTCTTCTATTTTGTTGCTTCTTTAAATCGTCTGGAATTTTTCAAATTAAAAACGGGAACGTTTCGTAACGGAATCACGTATCACGTTGGAACGATAGTAGATAATTACAAAATGTTTCTTTTTAAATTAATATCGGCTTTTTCCTTAAAACTTCGAGTATCACACACACACATACACATACACATTTTAATGTATACCTGCTATCTTGGAAAAGGGCCAATGACCCGTAGCAAAGAAACTTGGCTGCATCGTATTGCGCGCGCGTTTAAGAGAGAGGGAGAGAGAGAGAGAAAGAGAGAGAGAGAGAGAGAGAGAGAGAGAGAGAGAGAGAGAGAGAGAGAGAGAACTCTGTCATGTAACTCAATTCAAACTCCTACGAAATCAAAGACACTTTATCCTATAGATCCCAGAACTATTCTAGTATCGAAATAAAAGAGTTATAGTGATAGTGTAATAATTGATAAGAATTTATTAATATATCATATACATTTCTTACAGTTTGATACTAATTTCACATTTTATCGAAACACTATTGAGATTCTATTCCAGAGATTTTTTCAAATTAATTGTTTCTCATTAATTATTGGACGGATATACAAGCTCGGTGAATCTGTGCGAGGGAACTTCTCCCAAGCGAATAATTTCTTCTTTTCTTTTCGTCGTCGAAGTCACAACAGTGCGATATTTATCCCCTAAGGTACCTGAACCATACATTCATTTCGAGAGTACTCTCACAAATATTGATTATTTCTCTCTACAAAGCACCCTCTAGTCTAGACGGGATCTATACTTGAATATCTCGATCAAACATAAAACATTTTCTGTATTCTTCTTTGACATCGACTCATTGTCGAAAAGATCGTCGAAAAAAATGTTTTTCTTATGATTGTTTACCGTTCCAATTTAATAATAGGAGAAAGTTAATATAATATTATATATGTTTTATATTGAGAATGTACTTTGCTCGAAATGAAACGGATGTGATAAATGAACGAATATTATGTACGAGGATAAAGATTTTAAGAATAGAACTTTAAATGAATTTTTCAGAATAGAGCCGAAACATGCCGGAAGAACAAAAATCTGCTGCAATACCGCCAGAAGTCACAGCGGAAAATGGCACCGGAACTAATTCGCCAACCAAAAGTCCAGTTAGCAAAGGAAAAATGGCTTTGGCGAAAATCACTTTATTAGATGGCACCGTGAAAGATTTTTATATCGATGTAAGTGACGATAAATGAATAAAGAGAAAAATATTTTACATATAATCTTAATCATGTTACAGAGAAAGGCGAAGGGACAGGATCTCCTCGATATGATATGTCAAAGTATGAATTTACTCGAGAAAGATTATTTTGGCCTTATCTACGAGGATAAGGATGATTCAAGGAACTGGTTAGACCTAGATAAAAGAATTGTCAAATTTGTCAAAAGTAAGCGATCCGTGATAAAAAATATCAAAATATAATAAATTATAATGACATTTAATTGATATTTTCTATCTTTCGCAGACGAACCGTGGAAATTCAGTTTCGAGGTGAAGTTCTATCCTCCGGATCCAGCTCAGTTACAAGAAGATATTACGCGTTACCAATTATGCTTACAAATTAGAAACGATATTATTAAAGAGCGTTTACCGTGCTCTTTCGTAACCCATGCTCTTCTTGGATCTTATCTAGTTCAATCAGAAATTGGAGATTATGACCCGGAAGAACATGGAAGAACGTATTTGAAAGACTTTAAATTTGCTCCCAATCAGACACCAGAATTAGTGGAGAAAGTTATGGATCTTCACAAAACACATAAGTTCGTTTCTGATTTTTTTTTCTTCTTTTTAAACAAATTTATCATTTGATTCTCGTAAAAATATTTACATTTTGCAGCGAATTAAAAATGAACTTTGTTAAATATACGACGTTTAATATCTTTGCAGAGGTCAGTCTCCAGCCGAAGCAGAACTGCATTATTTAGAGAATGCAAAGAAATTAGCGATGTATGGAGTTGATTTACATCCGGCGAAAGATTCAGAAGGCGTTGATATAATGTTAGGTGTCTGTTCATCTGGTCTTCTCGTTTATCGTGATCGCTTAAGGATAAACAGGTTTGCATGGCCGAAAATTTTAAAGATTTCTTACAAGAGGCATAACTTCTTCATAAAAATACGGCCTGGTGAATTCGAGCAATTTGAATCCACGATTGGTTTCAAACTTGCGAATCATAGAGCAGCTAAAAAATTGTGGAAGGTTTGCGTAGAGCATCATACTTTCTTCAGGTAATTATTCGATACTTTTATTGCCTATACTTTTAATTTGTGTCTTTTATTATCCTCTTATATACTTAAGCATATCAACAATATATTTTTATTTATTTTTACAGGCTCATGAGTCCAGAGCCTGTAAAGAAAGTTGGATTACTACCACATTTAGGATCTCGCTTCCGATACTCTGGGAGAACGCATTATGAAACGAAAAAGACTCCTATAGATCGACAACCTCCTCAATTTGAGAGATCTCTAAGTGGTCGTCGTCTTACATCACGTAGCATGGATGGTATGATAAATTTCCTATATATTTTCTTAGTAAATATTTTATAAAAATGACAAATATTATTAAAAATAAGATGAAATACGTTAAAATAAAATAATTGTTTTATACAGCCTTAGGTGGTCCTAAACCAGTTGAAACTTACGGCTCAGAACCAAGTAAACGTCATACTATGAGTTACGAGCCTGAAATGATTCCTGATATGGAACACATTGATCAACGGCCTAGTCCTATTAAAAAGCAAAAGGAGAAGGTAACATATATATTTAATCAATTATTATTATATTTATTAATTGAATTTAGTCTATAGATATATAGTTTGTAGATTTTGCATGAGTTTATCATGCAAATTTTGAATAATGTTAATTTATATTAACGGATACTAAAAAACAAACACTTTTAACTTCAATTTGCGGTCTACGCTTTCAAATAGACAGATTAATACAAACAGTTTATGAAGTACTATCAAGTAACACTTTTGCAATGTATTTTTTATATATATATATATGATGCTAGGAAGCGCTGTAGAACACAATTGTTTCATAGAAATTAGGTAATATATAACATTAATGTGTTAATAGCTGAAGAGAATGTATAGTTGTAATATGTTAATTAATCACCATGCACCTCTACATCCATTTTAATAATCGGTTATTACATTTAGTGACAGCATGTTAGTACTGTATATCATGTGTTAGACATGGATGAATGTATCAAAGCATACAGTTTTTGCATATTAAGATTTATCTAAGTTAAATACAACATTCAAATTTAATGATTTAGAAGCATTAGCATCGTTCTTATAGAAAGATTAGAAATATTATTTTATCATTACTGATTTTTTGAAACACTTATATTTTCTGTAGTATTATAAAGTGATTTTAGAGTATAAAACATATATATACGCGCGATAAACATATACATAATAACTTACTTCAAAAGAGTTATCAGACGAGTCTAATATACAGAATATAGTGCTTCAACTATAATAACTAATTCACGCAATAACTAACATCAATAGCTCACACGAAAAACAAGTGCTGGAACAACATCTGCCAGCAGTACCAGTAGCCTGGAAGGAGAGTATGATGCAGATCGTACCAAAAAGGTATATAATTTCATTTGTTGTTTTTAAATCGCACTGTTTTATCACAATTGTAATTACACTACAGTGTGATGATTTTCTAATGTTTTCATTTCTTTTATGCATGCCGCTGATTCTCATTCACAGCTTTGTTGAAGATAATACGGCCAACGCCTCAATAACAAAATTCATAGTTACATAGGTATCTCAGTACTTTACAAGCATGGATAATTAGAAGAACATTAATATTTCTATAACATCAAAATAATTCAATATTTAAAATTTATAGATATACCATTAGCCACAATATTATGATACGTGAAACAGTTGTAACTAGAACAGCAAACTAAAAATTCTTGAGAGCGCAGACCGTAATTATTTATGGAGCATGCGATTTGTGCCAAAAAATTGTAGTGCGATATATGCTTTATTTTACCTTTACATTATAGTTGCTTTATGCTTGTGCATGAAAAGACGTGTGATTGTATCACTTTACTTGTAGAAACCGGTCGGAGGAATTGCAGTCCTACCGCCCGGTGGTCTTTCTAAGAAGAAGAAGGATAAACAAAATGAAAATGAGAAGGAAAACCATAATGATCTGAACAATTCTAATTTAATTAATGATAATGCTCTTCTTGATAACAATGATGAGAAATCGCCCAGTAAAAAAGACTTAAAAAAAAAGGACAAGGAAACTCCAGAAAAAAAGGACAAAGAAAAGAAGGAAAAAATTAAGGTAAGTTCATTGCTTGCCGATAATTCATCTGTAACTTATTATACTTTATTTAATCAGTGTCAATATCTTAGATTTGAGAAAAAAAGTATTATAATAATAATATAATTGATTCTAAAAAAGATCACAATATAGTTGCATCATTAATATTGATTAAATACAATATAGAACATTCTATATTGAATTTCGTTATTCATATCTATTTATCAATAAATAGTATCAAAAATTTCTTAATCTTTTATTTAAAATGTCTATTATTGAAGAGTAAGCAATTCTAAAGTAAAAATAACAGTTATCACTTGATATTGCTATTACATGAAATTATCAAAATAATTTGATTTGTTTATGATTCACATACGCATGTTTGTCAATTAAAGTTTCTTTTAAAGATATGGTTGTTATATGTAGAAATTAGTATGTTTGTATACTATTTTATATATATTTTATGTATAGATTATTTTGATAGATACAGCATGAAAGCTCTTTTGTATTGCATGTTTTTGTTTATTGTGAAAGAGTCCTGTTGGTGGTTTCCTCTTCGGCAAAAAAGAAAAAGAGAAGGATAAAGAAAAGGAGAAAGATAAAGAAAAGGATAAGGAAAAAGAGAAAGACAAAGAAAAAGAGAAGAAAAAGGAAAAGGAGAAGGATAAAGAAAAAGAAAAGAAAAAAGAGAAGGAAAAGGAAAAGGAGAAAGAAAAACAGAAACAGAAAGAAAAGGAAAAGGAAAAACAAAAAGAAAAAGAGAAGGAAAAGCAGAAAGAAAAAGAGAAACAAAAAGAAAAGGAAAAGGAAAAAAGTAAACAAAAAAAGCAAAAAAAGAAAGATTTGGATGACTCGATAGAAAAACATGATATCGAATCAGATGTTTCAACGTTGGGAAAAGAAACGGAAGAAATACGCGAAAAAATAATCACGGATATATCAAAAGATTCTGTTATGAACTCTGATCGTCCTGGTTATACAAAACCGTACGATTATGAAGAAACAGAAACTTCATCTACGAGGAAACCGTTTACGCCTCATGGTTTCTCTTACGAAGACAGACCGGCATCTCCAGGTGTACGAGATCAACAATCTCCTACTGCAGCTAGTCGCAAAGCAACGGGTTTAGCATTTAATTATGCTCCAGGTGAAGAAAAAAAAGTAGTAGAATCAGTGGAGAAAAGAAAAACAAAAGACATAGATAAACTACAACAAGCTGGAATAAAAACTCCTGGACTTAATTACGTCGAGTCGGCTGGTCTTAAAGAACAACAAAAAGCTACAACTTACAGGCTACCTAATCAAAAAGATTCTTCTCAGGTATGAAACCATATGTGTTGCATTACACCTAGAATTCTTATATTCTATTTCTTATGCCACAAAAAAGGCGATTTGTTGCTATTATTGAATAACTATTAAATAATTCCATTTTCATTCTATTTATTACAATGCAACATGCACATATATGCATTATTAATTATTAACAGAAAATAATTTAAAGATTTAATTTATATTCATTGAGGATATTCATTTTATGTCATAATATTTTCCATCGCGTACGTATAAATAATTTTAATAAAGTAAAAATATTACTTTATCATACACAAAATATGATATAGTAATATGGTAACCTACCAGAACAATAACAAAGAATCTATATTTTGTACACATAATACATGATAAATTTGTCATGTAATTTCGAATTTATATGCATGTATTGTGCATGACATGTAATTGTGTGTGTATGTTTATATAAGCTTAAAAGTACAACAACAATCGCTGTATATTGTTCCAAATATTATAATAGTAAGTATCATAGATATATAATTTTGCAAAATTGATAACTCTTAAGTTACATGAAATTTTTAGCACTAAAACTAGTAGTAATTGTAACTAATATTACAATTATTCAATAAAATATATGCGTAATTTTCTTTTTTACTATTACTATTATTATTATTAAAATTTAATTTTTTCATTATAACTTAAATATTTTGCATTAAATGCTTTTAGCACTTTTAGTAAAATTGTAGTTATATGTAGGGTGAAACTCCAAATGACGATAGATCCCCACATATGACAACAACGACCGTTACTAAGCGAACTACAGCAATGCATGAAGGGCTTGAAAAAAATCCAAAAGCAAGTCAGGTTTGTGATTTTTATGACTATATTTTTCTATTTATTATAGTTGTATGCTTTTATTGTTTAGTAAATCAATTAGAATCTATAGTAAAATGTTAGTTCTATGTAGGCAGAGGCATCAAACTATGGTAAAACTCCATATACTTCAGCATCTGTTATTGCACGTGCTGCAGCGTTGCATGAAGATTTTGACAAAAGTTCCAATACAAGTCAGGTTTGTGATTATATTAATTTATATATTTTTTTATTTTAATCTGCTTATATTGTCCGTCAAATGTATGTAGAATCCACAGTAAACTTGTAGTTCTATGTAGGCACAGGTACCAAATGACGGTAAAACCTCTTACACGTCAGCATATGTCACTGCACATACTGCAGCATTGCATGAAGATCGTGAAGAAAGTCCAAAAGCAAGTCAGGTTTGTGATCGTTATGATTTAATGTTTTCATTATAATTTCCGTGCTTTTATTGTTTGTTAAGTATATGTAGAATCCATAGTAAAATTGTAGTTCTCTGTAGGCAGAGGTACCAAAAGACGGTAAAACCCCTTATACATCAGCATCTAGTACTGCACGTACCGCAGCATTGCATGAAGATTTTGAGAAAAGTTTAAAACCAACTCAGGTTTGTAATTGTCACGCTTCAATATCTTTATTGTAACTTCCGTGCTTATATCATTCGTTAAATGTATCTAGAATCCACAGTGAAATTGTAGTTTTATGTAGGAAGAGGCATCAAGTGAAGGTAAAGTTCCATACATTCCAATAACAGCTGGTATTGTACGCACTGCAACAATGCATGAAGATCTTGAGAAAAGTCAAACAGAAAGTCAGGTTTGTGATTGTCATGCTTTAATTGTTACATTATAATCTCCATCCATTTACTATTTATTAAATACGTGTAGAATGCTTTGTAAATCTGTAATTGTATGTAGACAAAAATGCCAGATGATAGTAAAACTCCCTATGTGACAGCTGTTACTGCACGCACTGCAACAATATTTGAAGACTCTGAAAAAAGTCGCAAAACAAATCAGGTTTGTGATCGTCGTGCTTTAATTATTGCATTATAATGTCCATGCTTTGTAAAACTACGAATTCTTTGTAAAACTACGGTTGTATATAGACAGAAGTACCAGATGATAGTAAAATCCCATACATGACAGCAGTTACTGCACGTACTGTAACAATGCATGAAGATCATGACAAAAATCAAAAAGCAAGTCAGGTTTGTTATTTTGATGGCTGACTTTATTAATCATTATCTTTTGTATCCTAATTACTTATGAAATGTATTTAGAATCATTAGTAAATTGTAGTTATATGTAGGCAGAAACACCAGATGATGGTAGAGCCCCATACATGACAGCAACAGCTGTTACTACACGAACTGCAACAATGCATGAAGATCTTGAAAAAAATCAGAAAACAAGTCAGGTTTGTAAATCATTGATATATTATAATACTCTATATGACGAAGCATAAATTATTCTTTTTTACAAATTACGAAATATCAGTATTTGCATTACAATAATTTGGAATCGTATTATACAAATCATTTAATTTATAATTGTTTTGGAATAAATTTGAGAGTATTGTATTTGAGATTATAGTATATTAGAGTATTCCATAGAATTATTACTTTTTTCACTTCAATGCTTTTCTTTATGTTAGATTATAATTTGCTCTTTTGCATTAGGTAGAGGAAAAGACTGTAGCATACTCAACTGCGACCAGTACAACAAGACAAGAACAAAGAGTAGTAACACAAGAAGTTCGGACTACAAGTCATGTGCTTTCGGGTGAACAGGTGAAATAAAGTTTAATATCTAATAATGTATTTGTGTAAGCTTAAAGACTTTATTCAAAGCATGTAAACAATTGTGTGCACTATTTGGAATTTATACTAACATTGTCCAATACAAAATTCATTTGTTTTTTTTATTGTATATATGTTTACGCACAATTATATATTATAACAATATAAGCGTAGTAAAAAAATTTAATTATTAAATACGTTGAGAGATACTAAACATTATCAGTTTTAGTTATTAGTTTTAGTATTTATGAAAGTGTAAAGTTTTTCATATGATTTTTTTTCCATACTAATATCTGATCTTCAAATAAAGGGATTAACTAGTTCATTTAAAAACAATACAATTAAAAGGTATATATTAACTTATATAGTATAGCACATGTATAATCCTTTATGTATACACATATATATATATGACGAAATTTTAAATTACATGGGAAAGGATTATTATTTATTTTATGCAAGAAGTTGAGCCATTTTAACAATAATTTAACTTATGTCATTATTCATTTAATCCAATTTTTTTTTGTTTTTTTTTTTGTTACATCATAATTAATTTTGGCGGCTTGGCTAACACGTTGCATGAAATAGCTGTTTTCACGAAGGCTCAGTACATCTAGTTCAAGCAGCGGAGATTCAGGTACACCAATTGATCTTGATGATGACCAACAAGCTTTCTACAATCAATATTATCAGGTAATTCACAAAATTTAGTTATAATGTTTCTATTCATCAAATGAGCAAAGTATGTACGTTTTTTGTTGTGTTTACCAAAAAAACTAGTTTGCAAATTATTATCTTGATTAGTGTTGTTTATGTTCAGGTTTGATAACTGTTAGGTTTCTGTTTTTATTGAAAAAGTAAAAAATTAATAATCATATTTTTATGTAAAATACCTACTATAAAATAAAGTTTTAATATTATTTTTAAAAGGACGTGCATGTGTTATTTTGTGTTATTTCTAATTTAATGGAAAAATTTTATAAAGGAATTATTTGTATGAAATTATTTATTGATCATTTCTGTATAATATAAAAACATGTGTTGCTAGTGTATATCTGATATATATGTATAATAACTTAACATTGGTCGATTCATTAACATTCATTTAATGGCAGTATTTGTACATTAATTTTATACAGGGTGATCCTGCAAATATAGTAGTAACTGAAACGCACGTATATACTGGAGAGCCTGATAGTAATGTAACAACTACAACGACAGTTCCATTAGTTGCAACTGAAACAAGGAAAGTTGCTTTAGAAAGCGAAGATGGGAATTACAGTGCAACAGGTGAAATTGTTAGTTCCCAAACGATATCGAGTAAAACTCGTACTGTCGAAACAATAACAGTAAGTATAACAATTGTTTATTGTTACATTATAATAAGTAAATTATTATAATAAGTCTTTATATTTTTATATATTTAATACCCTTTTTATAGTACAAAACTGAACGGGATGGTGTAGTGGAAACACGCGTAGAACAGAAAATAACAATACAATCGGATGGTGATCCGATTGATCATGATAAAGCTTTACAGGAAGCTATTCAAGAGGCTGCTGCAACAAATCCTGATATGACAGTTGAAAAAATAGAAATCCAACAACAGATGGCACAGTAACAACCTCTTCTAAAATAGAATCTATAATTATATGGCACTCTGTCTGAAAAGCTATGATATCTTCAAAGCAAAGAAATATGAAGATACGTGTTTGCATTTATTACATATTGCATACTGTTATGCATCTTTTTGATGCATGATCGTCAGACTGAATTATCGTCAATAAGCCCTTGCGTACATTCATTTAATTATGATGCCTTTCCTTAAAGGATTTGGGAAATTGCTTCTTGAAGCTTACCCAATTATATGAGTTAAAGCTTGATTGAAAATCAAGTTCGTTAGTAAAAGAAGAAGTCATTAATAAAGTTTTTTATGGAACGTAGTACCTTATACCATAAACAATCGTGTTCATGTTCAGATAATTAAAAGTGTATGTGTATGCACATACCTTGATATTTATTATACATATTACATATACATAAATACGTATGTATATAAACAAATGAATAAGCCATTAATATTTACGAAAAGAGGACAGAGTGCCCTTCAGATAAAAATTTTGATAATTTTAAATATTGATTTAAAAAAAAATCTATGTCGTCTATTCATAATTTTCATATGTAAAAAAAAGATAGCTTTTACAAAATGATATTACTAATTTCAAAAGTGTATAAAGTCACTAATTCTGCTATTAATGCATTGTCATATTTTTGACCTCTATATCGTTTGATTAATCCTTGAGCATGGTCTATATAGATAACAATAGAACAGACTAGTTTCATTCAAATGTTTGAACAGTCTTATAATAGTATTACATAATTACTTACAAGATATACAATTTTTTATTATTCCATGCATACAAGGTTTGCTCATTAATATTCTGTAAAATTTGTAAGTGATAAGTAATAAATACACATGTAATATCCATTCAACTGCTTAAATGCAAATGAAATTAGCTTAATTGCTATGTATGTTCGTGTGTGTCACAACTGAAACAAGGAAGGTTGCTTTAAAAAATGAGGATGGGAATTACAGTACAACAGAATGAAATTGTTAGTTCCCAAACGATATCGAGTAAAACTCGTTCGGTCGAAATAATAACAGTAAGTATAAGAATATGTCCTAGTTGTTCAGCGATTTATACATATATCTGTGTATTATTATGCTGTACTACGAGGACAATTGAAATCTTCAAAGTTTCCAACTCTATAATGTTAGTGTTAAGCAATATACAAAACAAAGAAAGTATATTATTAGAAGTGCTAATTAATTTTCATTTAATAATGTCGTTGGTGCATGAAAGACACCACAGTTTTGGAAACTGTGCAGATTTCCACATTTTACTTTAAAAGATATAATAATTACTAAAATATTAATAGAGATTAATAGATTATTATATAAATAAACACCAACAGCAATGATGCATTGGTCAGCGTATATGTCTAAATTTAGCTATAGCTTATGTAGTTTTAGAACTACATTTCAGAAGATAATTCATTTTCTCATCTCATATTTTAGAATTTTAATAACTGCAATTTTATTGTACAACTAAGTACTGAAATTAAAGGAGACAATGTTTCTCTCTTCTGTCGTTTATGTAATTTTCAATTTAAACTATTTCTTGAATTTATCACAATTCTGCATATATATTGATATTTATAACAGATATATATACTATATATATGAGATATGGTATATAAGGATATGCATATCAATGAATAGTTGATCTTTTTACATATAGTTTTCTTTCTAATACTACAGACTTTAATAAATTAGAGAATTATTGATTTAAGAATAATTTAGAGATAATATATATGGTATAAATACTTTATTGCTATTAGTTAATATGTATCTTGCACAAATGATACAGTGTTACAAGCATTATATGATTATTGCTTATAAAGATTTTTCAATTTTTTATTTTTATACTTTTACAGGCTTATAAAGAGATATATATTCTAATTTTTATGTACATACCATGAGAAAATACTTTTAAAGTTTTTTAATTTTGCTTTATGTTATATTTAACGGTTATTTTTATTTTATACTTTTATTATAGATGTGCATATTCATTCTTCAAAATATAATTGACAAACAACAGATTTTATGCTACGTTGTCTTTGGAAATATTTCAGTCAAACTATACACTTAAAAAGAAAATATTTCGTTTTGAACAATGTAATATATCAATTTCAATTATCTATAAAGATATTTATTTTTGTTTCATTTATTATCAAAATAAAAATGCTTTAATTATAAGAATATCTGCTATTATTTTTTAAGGAAAATCCTAGAAATTGTTTGCATTAGCATTAATTACGAAATTAAAATATGCTTTGTAACTACAAATGTATTGTATTATGTACTTTCGCTGCATTAACATTGCATTTATCGAAAGCACATAATCATAATCAGTTTGAATATTTTATGAATACTTTATGACATGAAATTTTAAAATAACGGATAAATTGTGTTATATTTTTAAAAATCTTGAAATTATTTGAAAATAGTAATATAAAGTTCTTTGAGAGTTTAGTATATATATAACATATATATAGTATATATATATACATATAACAAATTTTTAACGATTTGCATTGTTTTATTTTCAGATTTCATAAAAAATGTCATTTTGTACTGTGTCTAACATTCCATGCTTGTAGTAACTAATAATTGTGTATCATAAAAAATGTATCATTTGAATATTATTTATTTAGAACTTCTTAAAAGATTATTATATTTATATATTATTTCAGCTTAGAAATAGTATGAGCTTTTGTGTCAGTGTTATAGTCTAGCATTAATTACTTTTATGATATTAAATAAAAAGGCAGAAACTAAATTATTATACTTGTGTAATATTTGAAGTACCATTGACTCTTGTATTGTTCAGTTGGATTTAAATTATCATAAAACGAATTTTAAAGATTATGTATGGGTTTTCAAGCAGCGTACAAATGTAGTATATAAGTTTACATTCTGATATTTTTATTGTTCATTTATTTCAAGTGTATTTATATTACTACAGATTGAATACATATAAAAGTGTTATATCTTTCTTGAAATGAACCAATATCTACATACTTGTAGTTATCTATTTCTTATTTTTTTACACCTTATCCATACTACACTTTTATTCATACGGTATTGTTCACAAGTAGGTTTAAGTGAAAATATCAAGTTATATAAATGAGTACTAATAGATCAAATGTAGTGCTAGTGCTAAAATGTATAAAAGTATTATTGTGTAATTGATAAGAAATTATTAGTTTTTTATACAATCTATCATTTTTATTTTTATACGAATGTAAAGTTGTTAAAAAATTCCAATATATAGATAATAGGTAACAAAATATATTTGACATTAATAATTATTTTTGCCAATATTTATCAGATTAATGGTAATATGATTGATTTTTGTTCAGTGAATTTACTCTACGTTTCTTTTTTGTTAGTTGTATCCCTCCAAAATGGTCTTGGTGTTATATGATTATCTTTTAGACTGTTTATACCAGCAGCTAATAAAAAAGTGTTATTATTAAACCAATAATAATTTATCTTTACCTGATATTATTAATATTTTTACCCGTTTTCCATGATGGAAAACTCTGAGGCTGTAATTCACCCATAGCAGATATAACTGCTATAGATAGTTTAGGTCCAGGATGTTGAAATATTGCTCTACATACAGATTTCTTAAATGCAGGAGGCAAGTTCAGAGAATCTATAATTATGAAAATATATATAATATTTTTAAATATTTACTATGATACAAATAGTTAATACTTAAATAAACAAACATACTTGCAATGTCATCTGTTAGTGGTACTGTTATCTTTTTAATAGATTGTTTAAAACGTTTCTCTTTAAAAGTTTGTAAAAATTTGCGACAAATATCAGAAATATTTTTTCCATCTAAATTTACTATATACAAAAAACAAAAAGTTATATTAACTACTATATTTACTAACAAATATAGAAACTATACAATGAACCAACCCAATGTGTTACTGTTAGCAATGAGACTTTCTTTATATCTGTGTTTTTGAACAACTGGATTACCATTCATATATAATTCTCTGAGTGAAATTAATGTACTTATTGTTTGAGTTAAATCTTCAATATCATCAAGTAAATTATTTTTTGCTTCCAAAATTTCCAATTCATTAAAATTTGCTATATCATTTAAAGTCGTCATTTTATTATTTGATATGTTAAGCTTTTTTAAACATTTCTGCAATATATTATCACATAATATGCATAATATTAACACATAAATTTCTATGAATCAATTATAATGTAATATGCAAAATTATTTTGAAACAACTTACAGATAATGTTACAGCACTGCGCGGCTCAAAGCATAATGTTTCACCTATAGTTAAGGATTGATTTTCTACATGTAGCTCTATTAAATTTTCGGCATTTTCTAATCCCTCAATTACACTAATGCAATTATATCCTACATAGAATTTGCGCAAATTCTGTAGACAATCTAAATTTTCTAACTTCTTTATTTTGTTATGTTGCATATATAAATGTGTTAAATTCGTCGCAAAGTGTAAATTTTCTATACGTGATATATTATTATCTTGAAGATATATCACTTTTAAATTTTTACATACCGCAAAATTACCCTATAATAAGATTATATGTTTAATATGAAAATTGAACGGTCGCATAATTTTTGTAAAAATTAATTTACAATTTCATTGATAAACATTCCATTCATGTATAAGTGCGTTAATTTCCATAATTCTTGCTTTTTATTTAATTTACTAAGAGATTTTGATCGAACTTGAGCATACTTTTTTTCGATAAATTTTGATGTTAATTTCACCATAATTATCAATTTCTGTTTCTTAAATTATTTGAAAGATTGAAAACTATTCAAAAAGGTATTAACCTTTGAAATATAAAGTTAAGTTTCATCGATTAAACAAGCGTTACGTTAATCGCCAAAAATCATAAATCAATGGACCAATCACAAGTTTTATAAAGTTCATAATCATGATCAAAAGCATGTTTTATTAATAAATTAATAGTATTCCATATTTCCAAAATCTTAAATGTTTTCATTAACATTATAAACACAAATTTATATTATTATTATATTTATATGATAATCAGTATTACTGTCATATTACTACATAATAGTGCGTGTATGTATATATATATTGTATAAGGTTACTAAAATAGTGCGTACATATATATATATATATATATATATTTATTGTATAAGGTTAGAAGAGGAAAAGGAAGGACGTCATTTGCTTCGAAAGCATCAGTGAAGTATATGTCTTGTTCTACTCTTACAATGTTTTGAAATATATTCTTTGTGTTATTGATATAATATAAAAATTTATGTATATATAAAATTGACAATAAAAAATATATTTAGTTAATTTACAACGAAAAATGGAGAGATTATTTGGAACGTATGTGCATACTACATACCGAGCGGCTTAAACTACGCATCTAACCTGCGTATTTGTTTTTACAGTAAATGTAACTCGTATCAGTACAAATCTGTTTTTAATAATATTAATACAAGAAATATGGATGTAGATTTGTTAAGACCAGGAACGGTTCCTATTTCACCAGATACAATTCTTTGGTTTGAATTTTTATTAAATCCGTCTTTACTACAGAAACATTTATCAAAGTCCAATCCAGGTAAACAGATTAATTAGATATAAACTAAAGAAATAGAAATATTTAATGATCATTCATTAATCGAATTCTTTTTATTCATAGACCCATCATCTACTGATTTGATAATTAAATTTATAACAATTAATTCTGATCAAAAGGAGAGTGATACAAAATCGACAGATGTAGAAGTAAATGAAACAAAATCTAGCATGACAAAATGGTCACATAAAAATCTTGCATTAAAGATTCTTTCTTTAAAAGTAGCTGCGCATTTAAAATGGAATTTAGATATATTGGAAAAGAAATTACCTTTACCAATACAAGTAACTTTATTACAAGATTTGTTCTATATAACAACAGATGCTATTGTTGAAATACCTGCAATTCCTGATTTTTCTATACATAATGTTTCTGATCAAGCACTGTTCACAATTGTCTTATATCACAGGTGGCATATAAGAGCAATAATTTATAGAGCTCTGCATAATAAGCAATCTAAACAGCAGTTTCTTCATATGTAAGACTTTAAAATTTTCAAATAATATTAGTATATCTTAATAAATATATATATTAGTATATTTTTTGTTATTATATGAACATTTTTTTCTTTATTTAGACCAGGTATTCAGGAATCTACTTACGTACCATCAGGTATGGTGGATGAGATTATTAGAAAATTAGAAACACATATACCCAATAGTGTTAATACTTTAAATGCAGTCTTACAATCAACGGATTTAAAATTGAAAGCACTCTCTTTTGATACTTTTCAAATGCTTACTGAAGATAGTACAGAAATTAAACAAAATTGGGAAAATATGTATTCTATCAATATCGAAGAAGTTAAATGTCAGGTATCATTCAGATAAACATAAAAGTAATTTATTAAAAAATTATAATGTGATATATTACTTTTCAACTATTTTTTAGATACATTATGATTTGGCTGTATTTCATTTATTAAGAGAAGAATATCAAGAAGCAAAGAACCATGTTAGTCAAGCAAAAGAAATATTTTACAAATTTGATACCTCAGATTCATTGATATATTGCAAGATACAAAAGGAATTCTTAGATGGATGTTGTTTAGCTTGTGAAGTACCTATAGATGGTATTATGTCCACTCTATCGCAACAGTTACAGTCTTCTATCAAAGATCAATATGTAGTATGTATACATTATTAATGAACACATTATTAATTGGAATCATATAATGTTTCTGTGATATAATATGAAAATCATATTTTAGAATATATTGCAAATTTTGCAAACTGATAATATTTCAAGAGATATACCAAAAGTCTATAGGGATAATTTAGAATTAGATATTCAAGGAGGATCTGTAAATAGAAAACTTGTAGTAGCTCGTGATTTATTATTACAAATTCAATGTTTGAATTTAGTTCGTAATATACTCAATGAAAGTGTTATTCTTGGAGATTATGTTTCTGAAATACAATCAGCTGGTACTAAAGGACTTGATGTGCTTTTCTGGGTAAGCAAGATTTTAAACAGTTAATATTTAAAAATAAATATTTAAATCAAACTTATTAATTATATTTTTTACAAAATTATTTTATAGGCTCTTGATAGTGTTCTGGAAAAAGCAACTCTAGTAGACAAAAAATACATCTCTCGTTATTTACTTTATCTTGTAAATACAAGTAATTTAGAAGGATTGGCATCTAAATTACTTAATGATTCTGCTTATACAGCACTTTTCAATGAAAGGGAATTACATGAAATAGAAAAAAAGGCATCTATTGAAGAAATGGAATTACCAAATTTATTATTAAATAATGATTGGGGCATTACACCTATGAGATCTGCATGTAAATATTTAGCATATAAATTTGTAGGCAAATGTTATAAATATTCATAAAAAATAATATAAATTTAATTTATAGATAATACAGGGATCGAAGTTTTTGAATTAGAACAAAAACTCATACAATCTTATGATAGTCAAGAAATTCATGAAACTTTACTACTTTTGGATAGCAAACTTCGTATGAAGCCATTATGGCATATAAACAATTATTGGGAATTACCTATACCATTACAAAGTGTTGTTATGTCTCTTCCTCGAGGATTTCTTCAAGACTATTCATATGTTCTTTTGGCTAAAAGCAGAGAATTAGTAATATCTAAAGACTTTGAAGGAGCTATTGAATTATTACTTGTTTTAGAGAAGGAAGTACAACAGCATTCACAGAGTGGAAATACATTAATTTATAAATTATCTAAGTTAATAAATTGGGAGTCATTACTTGTTGATATATGGAGATGTCTCCATGCTTGGCCAGCAACAAACATATGTAAGTATAAATTGAAAAAAATAATTTAAATCCTCAATGAAATTAACTGTAATAACATGAATTGTTTCATTTTAGGTAATATATCAAATTTAGTTGCAAGAAGTAAACAGTGTCTTGGTGCATTGCAAGCAACTGATCAAGTTATTCCAAGACAAGAAATAATTGAATATTGTACTGTTTTTCTATTAAATATGGCCGAATGGGATTATCTTACAAGTTTAGAAAAACGATGGAGTTATACAGAATTTGCAGCTGCTATTAGTAGTGTTTGTCAAGATATTGTTAAATATAAAGGGACACGGAAATTTCCTAGAGAAGCATGGGATATGAGTAAATATTTCGTCATTAACTAATTTAAATTATTATATTTTACTTGTTTTTTTATGAAAATATAAATAATCTTCATAATAAATAAGTTTTGACAGCTTTTGGAGCACCTAGAGACCAGCCACAAAAACGAAGCAGTAGTGGTAATAGTGGTACTACTACTGGAAGTGCATCAAGAGATGCCAGTGCTAGTATAATAGGGACCTTAAATAGACTACGTGAACCAATGGTTCTTACTGTTGTTATTTCTCTCTTAGCACGTTTACGTAATGTATTACGCGATGAATCTAGTTTAGAATTGCATACACAATATCTTACTCTCTGGCCAGCAGGAGTATTAAAGTAAATATTACATTCCTTAATTCTATTTAACATTATAAATATGTATTAATAATGTGTATACAATTTTCAGTACTAACTTTTATAATATTAGATATATTGGAGAGTTATTATTTCAATTATTAATGCAAGCCTTAAAATATCACCCCACTAATATTCCTTGGCTAAGATTAACAGGTGATCTTAACTTTGGTAAGTATTCAAACAATAGATGATGCAAAAAAAATATTCTTCTTTATTCAGATACTAATAATTAAATGTTCCAATAGTTTTAGGTTATTATGAAAGTGCAATGAAATATTACCTAGAAGCAATAATGGTTGCTAGCGATTTTTTCAGTCAACCTATACCACGTGCACAAATAGATGATCTTGTTTATAGAAGAATGATTAAATGTTGTGCTCATTTGCAATGTTATACGCAAGCAGCTATATTATGTCAATTTTTGGAAGAAGTAGATTATTCTCTGGCATTTAAAATGGCAGGAAGCGATCAAAAAAGTTGTACAACAGCAGATGCAATGGATGCATATTATCATTGCATTTGGGATACAACAATATTGGAATATCTTATTCATTTACATACTAAACGTGGTGAACATCATAGAAAGCAACTTGCTGTAAGTATTAACAATATAATAAAAATTACTTTTATTTTCTTTTCATCATTATCTTCAGATCATCATTATTTTCAGATTAAGATCATAGGTCTGTTAGAGTTGAATTCTAATAATAATGAAGAAATCCAGAGAGAAGCAGCAAATATAAGAAAAGCAAAATTTTTAAGAGCATTAACAAAACAATATGTGTATTAAAAGAATTGTATATAAGTTGTATATTATTCTTACAATTAGGAAAATAAAATTTATAGTTTTATAATATTTCTAATCGATGATTAATATCGTGATTAATGAAGCATTAAGGTAATTGTTTTAGTTTTATCTTCGTACGTAGTATACGGACACATAACGTTTGCGTATGTATACTTTTTAGATGACTCAGAAAAAAGGACATAACTACATGTTGACTTGATTGTACGACAGAAAAATAGGTAATCTAGGCACGTCATCTTTACTACTATCATAATTTGAGTAAATTTCGTAACGCTTATCTTTTTCTCGGTAATGCAATTATTCGAATTTCCCACCCTTCTCTCATTCGCAGACTTTGCCAATCAGCGCTTTACATACATATAAGACACAAACAATGTTATATGCTAACTATATTATAAAGAATTTAAAAGATATCGAAAAACGTAGACACAATTGGGTAATTATATATCACAAAGAGATAAAAACAATATTTGCGTCATAGAAAATTATCAAAAATCATCGAAGAAAATAAGAGTCCACATTGTCCTTACATTTGATTAATTCTTATCATATCGAATCGCGCTGTTATCATTGTGCGTAACTATGAGTATGTAAATGTGCGTCAAAAAGTGATTAATAATGCTAAAGCAAGGAGGGCAAATGTTTCTTTGGATGGTATAAACATTCCAATAATGCACACGAGAACGTATCAAAAGAGTCTTCGATATGAAAGAGAAATGTGATGGACGTATGCGATTGCTGGTATAGCAGTTACGGCAAATGCGAACCTCATAAACACGTCGCCATGATGGTTCAGCAACGCCATAATGCTGCTATGCGACGTCCCATTCTCTGTAGAGTAAACACTCGCTCACGCAAACGAGATACAAAAGGATTAATAATTTGTAACTTTTAAGTCTTTGAAGACGAGTACATACATCAACAATAATCATCTCGATAGTCAATCTTGGTGAGTAAGGATAAAAGTTTTCTTCGACAATACTCTCCCAACTCACTGACGAGTGAAAGTTCCGAGTTTTTCGTTTCCTCAGAAATCCCCTTGTCGTGCTGTGCAAATAGGCGCGAGGGAGCAATAGACAGGAAGAGAGATAGAAAGAAAAGGAAAAGAAAGATACGAAGAGGGAGAGTGAGTGAGTGAGTGAGTGAGTGAGTGAGTGAGTGAGTGAGAGAGAGAGAGAGAGAGAGAGAGAGAGAGAGAGAGAGAAAGAAAGAAAGAAAGAGAAATAGTGAGGGAGGGAGTAAGAATGATTGGAAGGGCGGGAGGGAGAAAAAAGTGAGAATGCTGCGAAGTGGATAATATTGTATCGACATTAAATTTACTTAGATGATTATCAAATTCGTAAGAATCGTCATCGCGCCATTAAGTAAGCTCTAAAGTCGAACGCGAGAAGAATCGATACGCGGTTGTAGGCGCTTTTAGTTATTTCGCGATGGCGAGAGCGTGGCGTCGAGTCACTCTTAATGGGAGAGAGATTTTGTAAAAACAATGATGCTAAAACGGTAGCATGTGGTACGTAAGTAAATACTTCAAATCTTCTTGTCCCATTATAGTACAAAAGTCGAGCTTCGTGAGCATGAATTTCTGATGCGTTTTCGTGCGCGCGCGTTCAACTCTTACACTATTTTTTCCTTTCGACAGCGTGATCTTGAAAACATTTCGGAGATCTAACCTAACTTTTCACATTCACTATGGATATTTTTCTTTCGTTTCCGCGATGCTTGGAAAAATCTTCAATTTTCCGATACGATGAATTGTCACGGAAAACTGGCTCTTGGAGTTGACACTTAGCTATATATTTTTATTTGCTAAAGCATACGTTTCGAATTCATCATGAGAAGCTTTTATAACAGCTTTTTTATTAGGAATAAAATGAAAGCAAAAAGCCAGGTGTAATAAATATGAAAAGCATGATATTTACAAAATTTTATTAAGGAATTCTATGCTATCTATGTTTCAATTATTTTCTGTTACAGACCATAGTTCGAAGAGAGAATTAAAAAAAACATTGACAGAACCAATATATAAATATTTTAAACATGGATGATGAAGAAGGTTCATCTAGTTCTGGACCTATGTCTTCACTAAACAGTTTATTTTCTTTCACTAGTCCAGCTGTGAAAAAATTGCTTGGCTGGAAACAAGGAGACGAAGAAGAGAAATGGGCTGAGAAAGCAGTAGATTCTTTGGTAAAGAAATTAAAGAAAAGAAAAGGTGCGATAGAGGAATTGGAACGGGCCTTAAGTTGTCCTGGCACACCAAGCAAGTGTGTAACGATACCAAGAAGCTTGGATGGTAGATTGCAAGTATCTCATCGCAAGGGACTACCGCATGTAATTTATTGTCGAGTATGGAGATGGCCAGATTTGCAATCTCATCATGAATTGAAACCACTTGAATTGTGTCAATATCCATTTTCTGCTAAACAAAAAGAAGTTTGCATTAATCCTTACCATTACAAGAGAGTGGAAAGTCCTGTGCTTCCACCAGTACTCGTCCCAAGGCATTCAGAATATGCCCCTGGTCATTCTCTACTACCATTTCAACAATTAGCAGAACCAACCATGCCACATAATGTATCTTATTCATCCAGTGGCTTTAATGCAAGTTCTACCACTGGTGTAAATCCAACTTCTCCTATGTCTTCTGTTGGCTCTGTACCTAGTCCAGGAAGTACTACTTCGCCGAATCCACAAAGTCCTTACGGTACAAATGGATTACCAGAAACACCACCGCCGGCATATTCCCCTCCAGAAGATGGTTCACAACCTGGTCAATCTCCTCCACCAGATCCGGTGGCAATGGACACAGGTGGTCCTGCTGAAGTAGCACCAGTGTGTTATCAAGAACCACTGTATTGGGCCTCTATTGCATACTATGAGTTAAACTGTAGAGTAGGAGAAGTTTTTCATTGTCAGTCTCATTCTATTATAGTAGATGGTTTTACGAATCCAAGTAATAATTCTGATCGTTTTTGCTTGGGCCAATTGTCTAACGTAAATCGAAATTCTACTATTGAAAATACTAGAAGACATATTGGAAAAGGAGTACATCTCTATTATGTTGGTGGAGAAGTTTATGCAGAATGCCTTTCAGATTCAGCTATATTCGTTCAATCTAGAAATTGTAATCATCATCATGGTTTCCATCCTAGTACAGTTTGTAAAATTCCTCCAGGTTGCTCGCTCAAAATATTTAATAATCAAGAATTTGCTCAATTATTGTCACAAAGTGTTAATCATGGATTCGAAGCTGTGTATGAATTAACAAAAATGTGTACAATCAGGTATGCTTATATTTTCATTATTTCATGTTTTCATTAAGTTTTTAACATTTTTTTTATACAATATTTTGCAGAATGTCTTTTGTAAAAGGATGGGGTGCAGAGTATCATCGGCAAGATGTTACATCTACACCTTGTTGGATAGAAGCACATTTACATGGGCCTTTGCAATGGTTGGATAAGGTGCTAACACAAATGGGTTCACCACATAATGCTATAAGTTCTGTGTCATAGATTGTATACTGGTTGATAATACAAGCAGAAAAAACCATTAGTGGTAATAGATAAGTGAGTTTTAGTGCAGAAACATACAAATCATGTGGATTATACAAGAGATAGTGTTTTCAGGAAAGTGTTTAGAGGTGTAAGTGTCAAAGATGGTCACTTATTGTGACATGTTTAATTTCAGCATAATTAAAAATGTTGAAGAAATATTTTAAAGAAAATGAACAATTATAAAAATTAGATAGATGGAGAGTGATTGTTGATATATAAAAGTTTCATAAATAACGTGGTATACGTTTAGAGTTATACCACATTTTGGCTGTTATGTATGGAGAAAATTATAGTAGAAATAGGATATCTTATATACATATGAGGAATATTTTTCAAATCTATTAACAGTCATAATACTTTATTTTATATGGGAAATTGTTCTGAAGATATTCGCTACTAGCGTACTGCAAATGCTTTCCTAGATGATCTTAAGGGACAATATAAAAATGAAGTTCAAGCACAAGTTATCTATCAAGTGATAGAAGAAAGTAATTTCCTAAATCAATATAAATACCTATTCTTTAGAGCTGAATATGTTAACCTGATTTTAAATCATTTCAAATCATGTATAGATATAATTATACATATATAAGTGTAGGGATAGAGATTACAATCAGAAATTCATGTTTGGCTCTAAAATTGGTACGTATCGTACGAAAGTTATACATTAAATATATAATACTCTATTGTCCAATCGTTCGAATTATAATATGCGTGCTTTAAAATTACAACTTATACTTAACAAGGATTAGATTACCCAAACTTATCATTATAATCATAATCCTGAAATAAGAATAATTAATTTTGTCATTACTGATTACAATGCAATTGATACTTCGATATGAAATGCTGGATGCTGATCTCACGTTGACACTTTAAAGTTAACTGCATCTAATAATCTATTGAAACTTTAAATTTAGTAATCCTTGGAAGGATTACTTTTTGTGCAAGCTTCCCTAACATTTTATGTATGCTATGCTATGTTGGTCGTGTGACCATAACTCAATAATGAATTAAGTAAGATTTTTTAAAGTAAGATTTCCCTTTACAAAGCAATGAAAGAGTGAGATAAATATATAGAACTGTCATATGGTTTCTTCAAACTTTAAATGTTTTAATAATTTTTGGTAAAAATTTGACATACGTGATGCGTATATATAAATTTTAAGTACAAGATGTATTTTCTGAGATAACTATATAGTTCAATACTATATTAAAATTATCTCTTAAGATAATACAGTATAATTTGTGTAATATTAATAAAATGAAAGAATTATTTTTTTAAACATTCTTTTTCTCTTTCTAAAAAAGGGAATTCTGACTTTAAATAAATAATTTATATATATATATATATATATATATATATATATATATATATATATATAAAAATATAAGCTCCTTTCACTTTTTATTATATAACGAGCCAGGAATGTCGTATGAATAATAAAATGAAAGTCAATAGAAATAGTAAACTTTTAAGTTTGGCCATGTTTAAGAAATATTTTGCATCATGTAAAAGTTATATTACAAATGTATTGAAATAGGTGATTCTTTTTTAGAAATTTTTATGACAAATAATTTTCTTTTATATCGTTTTAATCAAAATGTACATAATTAATATTAAGTTTCATTTAAGAATAACACACACTTAATGATGTTTGTATTCCGACATAGATTTAGACGCATTTCTGGCTTATGAACTGCTATTACTTTTTATGTATATTCTATGTACTTTTTGAGTATAAGTTTAGGAAAAGTCGAACACGTTACATGATTTAAAATAAGAATATCGTACGACCGTGAAACAGAAATCACTGCCGCTTGTTAAATAACACTCGTTTGCCGATGTGTCTAGCTGTGATTCTTTGCTACCAAAATTAGCAAACTACGATCGGGAGATCAACAATTAAGAAAATTTGCCAACATAACGAAACAAAAACGTAAAGAGAGACTGAAATATACAAGATTTTCATAACGACAGTTATACAAGAGATTGTGACAATAATCGGTAATTACAAGAACAACATTTCGCCAACAATACTAGATACAATCTTGTTTGCCTTACATTTTCATGTAATTGCCTGTTAAGCCTCGACGTTAACAGAACATTTTTAAGAATGAATTATATTCACCATCAATATCGATAAAATATTATAAGATTGAACATGCGTTTATGTGTATTGAGCTTATAGCAATCGAAATAAGCACGATGCTTCGTCGCAACATGTATGTACAATTACCGCACCGTACTGTATACTAAGAGCTTTAAATTACGTTCTTGCAACTCTCTCATTTACTTTATTAATTGAAACATATACATTGAATCCTTTTTGTAAGACCCGATTACAAATCATCTGCATTATTCTTATGAAAGTATATTAATAAGCCTTACAATTTGAAAATATGTAAATCAAAGATGCGTGGAAGAAATTGTCTATTTATTCTGTTAGAATTAGCATAGCTTATATGCTGCCCATATTTGTGCCTTGAGAATGCTTCTTATATTATCGTATATAAACTTATACATTATATAACAGAAAATTATAGCATAGTTTTTCATGAAAACAAAAACTATGCTTTGTTGGAAGCATTTTTTTGCTCTTAACGAACATGGCTAATTTAAAATGAAAATTTCAACTTGACAATATCGATGGCCTCAAAAAAGATATAGATGTATTTATATATAACTGTATATATAGAAGTATATTAATGCAGAAAGTGATTTGGGAACGGGTTTGTAATTCATTAATGACAGTCATTGTAAATAAATATAATTATTGGTGTGACGACACGCCTTCGGAATCCATTCCACGTTTAACTTTTAGAGATGATATCAACGATATTTCCTTCCGTTTTTCCTCCATGTTTTCCGGAATACCGAGGCCGCTGATCACTCGATAATGGAACAATTGACATCAGCGGCATATTTACAAAATATAGGTGTCTTATAGATTCAGAAACGCGTTGATTTACGATGTAACGGTATGTTAAAAGACAAAACTCATTTTAGAACTTTAGTATAGAAAGATATGCACTCCGATTCAACATACATATATACATGATTTTTAATGTTAAATTAAAGATATTTGCTCGGACGACAAAGATACTCTTGTTTGTGACGCTACGTCTGCGTTTCTTTTTTTTTTTTTTTTGGTAATCAGTGTGTTGTGAAGCCTACCGAGTATGAATAAAAGTTAGTACCTACATGTGTATCTACGTGCAATGAAACATTGTAGTTTCATTTATTTTTACAATCATTTCCGACCTTTTTATATCCGTTGTTCCCAATTACGAAATATTCAATATTTATTTTACAATGAAAAAATTGATTACACGATGCAATTATATTTTCTTCGATGATTATCATTTGTATTATTTCAAGTCGGTCGTTTGAATTTTCGCGCGCCTAAGATATTTGTATAAAAAATTTCATCTGATATATTATATTTCTAGTATATATCAATAAATAAGTAAAGGCGCGGAAAAATGTTATTTGTAAATAAAATTAGTAAATGGCATAAAATTAAAGTAATTTTATGTATATACGTTTTTTAAACAATCGTCGAAAATTTTGGCCCTCAATCTGCTTTCTTAAGTTGGCCAACGTAATAGAAGCAGTTCGGAATGGAAAATTCAAACATTGTTTCACCATCAATTACAGTGTTTTTATTGTGGCATATAGATAAAATAATTAATACTTTCATGCAAATAATTTTTATGGATTTAACAATGTATCGATCACGAAGCAAAATATATAATACGATTAGGAATTATTTAATTGTACGGGAGGCTTTGTTATACGTGTAATAATACGACGTCGATCCTTCGATTTTTTGATCGGATATTTTACGTGACGTAAAATAATCCGAAATAATCCGGAATAATCTGAATAAATAAATCTTTCTTTACAATTAATTATAGATTATCAATTTTTACTACGAACAAATGTTAAATGCAGTAAACCAGTAAAACGAATTTATAGGTTAAACATACATATCTATTGTTCGTACATATGTACATGTTCTCATGTGTAGAATTTATATTGAAACTTGTGTTGTAAACTTGTCAGCGTGCATTAATATTTATCAATATATATTATATTTCAATGAACTTTTTCGTAAGGTAGAGTATCAATGAATTAAAATTAATAAATAATTACGTTGGTGTAACACGATTTAAAATTTATTTCAGTATTATCCGAGATAAGCCGAAGATACGATTGTAATCGCTTTGTGCCAGCCATTATTTTCATCCCGGCGGTTCGTCAACGACGCCACCAAGGTGACCTGAGTACGTTACCCGAGTTGTCACCACTTCCTAATAATTTCGCCAACAGTGTCACCCGAACCTCCGCGAAGAGAGGTTCGTAATACTCGACACGGTGGCTTAGTGCAGTCATGGTATTTTCTTTTCTTTATTCTATCTTTATTCTAACTATTTCATTCTACTATATTTTAATATTTCTTTCGGTATTATTTTTGAGTAACGCGAATATTTTTTTCAAAAAAGTCAGAAAAAGAGAGGGAGAGAGAGAAGGAAGGAATTTCATTTAGAACGAACGATCGGTATCGTTATCTCGAAGATAAATAGATCATCTCGGAGTGATTCGATCTTTTGTTTCTTCCTTCGAAAACGATAGTGGCTTCAAAATCGTTCGTGGCTCTTCTCATCGGCTGTCAAAATATCATTGTAAGCTCAACATCATGACAATATCTTATCATGTGAAGGATTTTTAATGTATCTTTCTATGTTTAAATTACAATTTTCTTCTTTTATTTTTTTTTATTATGTGGAATGTTTCTACGATAGTCTTATTGCGATTGTCTTATCTCACGCGTATCGACACTTGTAAAAATAAGAAATATTGATAATAGTTTCCTGTTCGAAATATTTATTTTCAATTGTTTTTTTAATAATCACGTCGATATGTTGTAATATTTCAAACGTTACTTAGGCACAGTTTCGCAGTGATTCCGGTGTTGCGAAATTGATAGAAAATGCATGTTTCTTTTTAGAAACATAGGACAAAAAAACAGTTTTAGTGATTTTCGTTGTATCTAACAATTTAGCTTTTTCGAAGCATTCGAGCGTGCGTCCGCATATACCTACGGAAAACATGCAAGGTAATGGTAAATCCCACTTACGAAACGATAAATTATGATACGGAACAAAAACTTTTTTAATGACAGACCGTTTTCTCAAATGTTGGTCGTATAACAGTGGCTAAAAGCTGCATGTAATATTACTTCAAGGAAATATTTTTATCATTATTGTTTGATATATGTTTGTAGATAATATTTTTTATCAATAATTTCAATTAATATTTATCGGAATCTGTTATCAAATATCCAACATAATAACCAAACCAGCGATACTTTTTATCGTTATTTCCTCGAATCATGCCAAGCACTATTTGTAAATATTGTCGAAGAATTTATCAAGGCATAGAGAGGGGGAAGTATACGTATTCTTTGGATCTAAACTCGATCTTCATTTTTATGAGAGACTCGAAACAGCGTATATGCGGCACACAAAAGAACCATTGTCCTCGAATCGAAAGTATTTCCGGACACATAGAATATATAGTTTTGACGTACATATTCCGTACAAAGCCTGTGTGTAATTTTAACTCCTTCCAGTCATAATAGTTATAGATATGAGTATACCATTAGTCGAAATTATTTTTGCTAGCATAATAAATGATGTATACTCAATCAATTATTGGTACATCTAATCCATTGAATTAATTTTAATTATGTTAAGAAATATAATTTTTTCAGGAAATTTCTTTTTAGGAAATTAAAAAAGTGCTTTGATGATAATATCTCTATTATATGAATGCAGGCAATATTATCAACTTTGATAGGAAAGAATTATAGTCATGCATAATATTATCAATATATATATTTTTTTATATCATTTTTCTTTATTTTTTGCTTACTCGTATTAAATTATCTTAAAAATTCTTGAAAATTTATCAGTAAAAAAAACAAGATTATTTCTGGATTATCAAAGGAAACTTGTATTAACTAGAGAAATTGTTGAAAAGAAGTTACAATTATTCTATACAATTCAGTTTAATATTTTTAATCTTTTACATCGTAAATCTCATGTTTTAATCATACTTCTTGTTTAAATAAATTTCATTATTTTAAAAAATCTTCGAGAATTTGTAAGAAAAAAAGAAAAGAAAAAAGAATATTGTTTTTGGATTATTACGAAATCTTTTCTCAAGTACAGAAATTATTAATGAGAAGTTAAGTTTAAAAGTTAAATTA